GTATCTGCTGCAAAACAGGAATTTAATAAATTCTGAGTTACTTCTCCATGATGTCTATGAGAAAGAGACTTGAGGATCTCAGTGCTGACCTGTGGTCAAATTGATGTAGAGAAAAACGTTTCTATGTACTTCCTTCTCTACCTTCTTGCTTCTCCTACCAATTATAAATCTCTTTCTCGAGCTAGATATTATCATTCTGTTACTTCCCAGAAAATTTACTTTTAAAGAAAGAATGTGAGATTTGAGAGGAAATTCGTTCTTTCATGGCAGAATGTCAGGCATAAAAATAGGTTTGAAACCAGTGCTCTGACTGCCATGATGGAGTGGCCTCCTTCATGGAAATGCTCAGGTTGACTTGCTGTGTGCATGTGATTCTCTCTATAGTGGGAATGTTAGTGAGCTCCCGGGTGTGGATCCTCTCTAGGGAATGTTGGGGGCTGTGTTTCTCCCATCATAGACTGTCATGCCTCAGGTTTCCTAGGGCCTCCCAATCTGAGGGTTCAGAGAAGAAATTCTTGAATAAATTGAATAAACATATCTTATAAATAAATTATTTGTTTGGTTAAACATGTAAATATTCCTGAAATAAAAGTTGTTTTGACTTTAAGAATTTTCAGACTCTTTGGGAGCAGAGGAGATGGGAGAAAACCTGGGAGGTATTAGACCTGGCTTTTCTCTGTGAAACTATTTATTTTCTAAAGCACACAGCTTAGCTGAAAAGAGGAACAAAATGTCCACTACCTGGAAAACGTCGTTTCTAATTAAGAAAGGCAGAGGCGCGGTGGCTCAAGCCTGTAATCCCAGCACTTTGGGAGGCCGAGGCGGGTGGATCACGAGGTCAAGAGATCGAGACCATCCTGGTCAACATGGTGAAACCCCGTCTCTACTAAAAAATACAAAACATTAGCTGGGCATGGTGGCACATGCCTGTAATCCCAGCTACTCAGGAGGCTGAGGCAGGAGAATTGCCTGAACCCAGGAGGCTGAGGTTGCGGTGAGCCGAGATCGCGCCATTGCACTCCAGCCTGGGTAACAAGAGCGAAACTCTGTCTCAAAAAAAAAAAAAAAAAAGAAAGGCAGAGGAGAGAAAAATTAAAGCATAGAATGCTACCTAACAATCTCTCTTAAGCAAGTTAGAACGGCAGAGAACACACAAGAGCATTTCTGCTGTGACTGTGAATGATCCCAAACAGGTTTGTATAGGAAGCACAGCTTTAGAGTATATTGGAAGAAATATGGTAAATAGGTGTTTTAACTCTGGTAATACCAAGCTAGTAATTAATGATTCGCTACTAAGAAACTTCAAAAATAACTAAAATCTCAAAGGATTCTATGTTTGTAAATGGAATCAAAACAGTTTTGTAAGTTGTGATTAAAATCAGATTTAGTTGCCGGGTGCGGTGGCTCAAGCCTGTAATCCCAGCACTTTGGGAGACCGAGGCGGGTGGATCACGAGGTCAAGAGATCAAGACCATCCTGGTCAACATGGTGAAACCCCATCTCTACTAAAAATACAAAAAAAAATTAGCTGAGCATGGTGGCACATGCCTGTAATCCCAGCTACTCAGGAGGCTGAGGCAGGAGAATTGCCTGAGCCCAGGAGGCGGAGGTTGCAGTGAGCCGAGATCGCGCCATTGCACTCCAGCCTGGGTAACAAGAGCGAAACTCCGTCTCAAAAAAAAAAAAAAAAAAAAAAAAAAAAAAAAAAAAAAATCAAATTTAGTTAAATCTGTTACAGAAATGAGATTTTGTAATAGTGGATTCCCATTACTTTAAAATTGGATGTGATATTTTGTCTTTATTTTTCACTTTGTCTTACAATGTTAATAAGAAACATATATATCAGAGAAAAGGGAAAGTGCAGTACCATTATTACCTTTCCTCTGGAATGCTGAGTTACATTTGAAACCATTTTGGGGGCAAGGAAGGGCTCTGAGATCTTTTGTTAGATTTTCCCTTGGCCAATAATAGAGCTTCTGCGATGGTTTCTATGAATCCTCAGAAGGTGAATTCAACAGGCTAAATGCATATCAATACTGGGGATCAGAGGGAGGATTGTGAGCTGCTGGATCAAGGATCATTGCCCAGATCGAGTGAGAAATCAATAACTGAAAATCAACAGCCATCTCCCTATATTAGTCAGGATACTTCCTAACTAGAGGGGTGGAGCACAGGTGACAGAAGAAGGCATAAGGTGGGTGTTTGGGAACACGGCTTTCTTACAAGTTCTTGCCGATTTTTGTATCCTCAGTCACCTCTCCTCCTTCCAGCAATCCTCAGTGATACAAAGATTCCAATGCCTTCATCTATGGCTCTTGTCTGTTTTTACTGAAAGAAGACATGAAGATGTGGCACTGCTTATTCCTGCGTGGCCCTTCTTTTTTTTTTTTTTTTTTTTTTTTTTTTTGAGACGGAGTTTCGCTCTTGTTACCCAGGCTGGAGTGCAATGGCGCGATCTCGGCTCACCGCAACCTCTGCCTCCTGGGTTCAGGCAATTCTCCTGCCTCAGCCTCCTGAGTAGCTGGGATTACAGGCACGTGCCACCACGCCCAGCTAATTTCTTTTAGTAGAGACGGGGTTTCACCATGTTGACCAGGATGGTCTCGATCTGTTGATCTCGTGATCCACCCGCCTCGGCCTCCCAAAGTGCTGGGATTACAGGCTTGAGCCACCGCGCCCGGCCTTGGCCCTTCTGTTTTGAGTCACCGTTGCTGCGTCCCTCTTGGTATGCCCAATCATTTCTCAATGTGGCCTCTGTCACAGTGAGATGCCTCACCCACTTGAGGCCTCCATCATCTACATTCTGGAGTTAAGCCCACATTGACTCCCTTGGTTACTGTTTCCTTCCTAAGAGTGGGAGAAAATATCTTTATCTTGAATGTAATATGCTTCTTGGGCTGGCATGGATGAAGGCAGGTGCTCCCTTTTGGTTTCTTATCTCTTCCTAGTTGGAAAGATTTCTAAGCATTTTGGAAGCAGTTTCTTACTGTTTAAGCGTAAAAGCCTTAATTTTATATCCTGGGCTTCTCATGGTAAAATGGGAACAATAGTACAAATATCAAAGATTGTTTTGAGGAATAAATGAGATAATTTTATACAGAATTTCTGATAATAGCTGACAAATACGCCTCTAAAAATGACAATGTTTATACTACTGAATCCAAGACAGAAATTTGAGGCACAAGTGAGTGAAGAGACTATTAAGACAATTATAAACTTGATAGTTCCAAGGATATGGAGAATTCTGGAAGGAGACTTTGCAATGTGGGTGTCATGCTTAGGAGTTTTTAAAAAAGGGATAAAAAGGAGACTATGAAGCTGAATTTATTTTGGTACATCACAGTGGCTTAGGAAGCTTTCTAGTTAGAATTTTAATAACACGGTGCCTAGTATTTTGATAAGAGGTGTAAAGAGATAAAATTATGTATACCCTAGGCAGTTTATATGATAAATCCAGGAAAATGCTAAGTATCTCTGTCTTCTATGGGATTTCAGATCTAATCAATGGCTCCACAAAGCTTCTGTGTAGCTGTTTTTGAGCCAGAGTAGATAACTTTGATACACATCAAAAAATGAGGAGGTTGCCTGAGGCCAACTATAAGTATAAATATTTTCTTTACAATTCTTTTTGGAAGAGTACAATTGTTTGGCAGGTAATGGAATGATCCATGAAGCTTTACCAAGTCTAGCAAGCCCAAGTGAACGTCCAAGAGGGAAGGCTGAGATTCAGGTGTCAAAGAAAAGGCAGAAACACCTTTAAAGTTATGGGCAGAACAATAATGCTTTTTAATCTTGCAAGGTACCACAGAGATCAAAAAGTCCAGAAGCTTCAAACTTCTTCCAGTGGAATCTTACCAAGAAACTTAATACATACGATAAGCAAACAGAAAGTTCTCACTAACTATATTTAATACCGAAACCTCCAGATAAATTCACTGGAGGCTCAGGGCTCCTTGAATCAGGCTTGGAAAGTCATTGGCCCAATCCATTTGCCTGACCTGATATAACTACTAAATCGTTACCACACTACTTGACTCACGAGTAGCTGGTAGCAAGATGGAAACAGAACCAAGTTTGATAGACTAGCCACAATGCTTTTCACTTTCCTTAGGCAGTGGGGCTGATCTGATCTGCCTAAAAGCCTTCAGGCAAAGAAATCAGGCATGAGGTCAGACATGGGATGAACATCCTTGCTGACAAATTCTAAGTAATTCCCTTTCCAGATGTTTGGGGAAGGAACAAAACAAAACAGAAAAACTACATCTTGACTCTAGTCCTTAGTCTGTTAATATTTTTATTTTTTATTTTATTTATTTATTTTTGAGATGGAGTTTTGCTCTTGTTACCCAGGCTGGAGTGCAATGGTGTGATCTCGGCTCACTGCAACCTCCGCCTCCTGGGTTCAAGCAATTCTCCTGCCTCAGCCTCCCAAGTAGCTGGGATTACAGGCACGCACCACCATGCCCAGCTAATTTTTGTATTCTTAGTAGATGGGTTTTCACCATGTTGAACAGGATGGTCTCGATCTCTTGACCCCGTGATCCACTCGCCTCAGCCTCCCAAAATGCTGGGATTACAGGTGTGAGCCACTGTGCCTGGTCTCTATACTTTTAAAATTATATTATTCTCTTAATCAGTTATTTAAAATCTCTTTTCTTCTTTTTTGTTGCCTTTCTCCATAGGTTTTTCTCACAAATAGTGTGAGGGGAGTAAATTGAGAAAAATGGTGCAAAAAAAAAAATGGCATGATAGAAAAGACCTTCCTTCCAGGGACAGGGATTCTCTGTAGAAGAAAGGCAAAGTAATAATAACCAAGACTATATTACTTTGAAGATAGGTGAAGAGGCAGAACTTAGATAATACAATAAAATAAATATGCAAAAAGATACTGTATTATAGCATAGTAGTCCATATCATTGAACAGCTGCTGAAAACTTCAACGTTGTTGTCACACATGAAGATTCCAAAGTGAAATTTCATATGTCAAAGCAGAAGGAATTCCAGAGCCATGCACCCATTTATCTGCTCTTACTAACGGGAATCTGACCTGCCCTTTGCAATATTGTTTTCAGGGCTGTTTTTACTTCCTTATTCCTCAAAGTATAGATCAAAGGGTTCAGCATGGGTCCTACCAGATTCATCAGAATTTGTACCACGGTTCCCAGCATGGGGTTGGGTGTGGGCTGCAGGTAGACAGTGATGATGGGCCCATAGACACAGAGGATGGCAATGAGGTGAGCACTGCAGGTGGAGAAGGCTCGGCGACGGCCTTCAGTTGTACGAATACTCAAGATAGAAGCCGTGATTCTAGCATAAGATAAAAGAATTAGGAGAAAGCAGACAAGAGATACGAGGCCAACGTTGGTGAAGCTCACCCTCTGGGCCCAAGACGTGTCAGCATAGGCCAAGGGCAAGAGGGCTGGAATATCACAGAAGAAGTGATCCACTTCATTGGGACCACAGTATGGCAAGGTGAAGGTGAGGGAAGTCAAGATGCTGGAATGAATGCACCCTAACAGCCACGTACCCACAGCCAGGGCCACACAGATCCTGGGGTTCATGATGACTGTGTATTGCAGAGGATAACAGACAGCAGTGAAGCGGTCATAGGCCATCACCGTATACAAGAAGCCCTCAATGCTCCCAAGGAAATGGAAAAAGAAGAGCTGGGAGACACAGTGTTTGTAGGAGATGAGTCGGCTCAGTCCCATCAGGTAGAGCAGCATTTTGGGACAAGTCACTGAAGAGAAACCCATATCAAACACAGACAAGTTTCCCAGGAAGAAATACATAGGTGTGTGAAGGCGAGCAGAAGAAATAACAGCAACAAGGATAGACACATTTGCCAGCAGAGTGCAGGCATAGAAGGGCAAGAACAAGACAAAAAGTATCATCTCCAGCCCCTCTGTGTGTGGGATTCCCAAAAGGATGAACTCTGTCACTACAGAGCAGTTCTTCACCTCCATGGAAGCCAGTTCTAGGGGAGGAAGAGGAGGCTGAGGTCATGGAAGAATGCCTTGGCTTGCTGTCAATCAAATGAACATACTGGGGAAATAAAATTTGTCAATTAAGTTACTATGATTTGCTTGTAAGTTATGGAAAGACTGCTTGTGATTCAAGTTATAAGGCATTGTCCTTGGGCTGTAACTGCCATAACCAACTAAGTTTTCTTAGCAAATATTTTTGTTATACTTATTTGAAATACAGACACCCATCATTAAAACAATATTCTTACAATGTTAGAGCAAAGATTTTTAGAGGGAGGGCAGGATCCACCCAAACATATGCTCCTCCTCCCAGGGTAGAAGGAAATAAAACATCAGGATCATTTGGGGACTTTTTCTTTTTTTTAATCACTGAAGATGTAAACCACAGTTCAAGAATCATCATATTTGTGAGCCATTATTAATGACAACGTGGGATTATATGTCTATGCTTTTTAAGGGAATCATAAAGGTTGAGCATTGCTTTGCAGTTCAAAATACTTATACAACATGATCTTCATTCATTTAATCCTCGTAGTAACTCTTTGTGGTAGATCTATAGAAAAGATTACATTTGAGCAGTAGAAAGGGTATGTGACTCTCTTAAATTAAGGCAGCCAGTACATGGTAGAACTAGGCATTTTCATTCTTTTTTTCTCTTTTTAAACATCAGTGTTTCCCCCACATTTGAATAGATCCATCTGTGATGGATCATGGCATTCCTCGCCTTGTCAAATCTTGCTCTGGTATTAACCATGTTTTTCCTTCTGACATCATCAGGCTCTTAAAATGTTCCTCCTCCACCTTAGTAAGCAATGGAAAACCAACATGTTTCCAGCTACCTCCCCACAAACACACAAATATAACATCTAAGAGACTAAATATTTTTTTGTTTACAATTATATTCTCAGTGCAAAGAGCAGTGCCTGGCAGAGTATTTTAACATTTGATGAAGGAAATAGGATAGCTTACTCATTGCCTGGCAAGAATTGGATATCACTCATCTTGTGCAAGGATTTATGTGGTACTATCAGATAGTAATTTCTTCTATCTCCTAAAGCAGCTTGATCATATACCTGTTTATTTTCTGCCCCATTCCCTGTATATTTAGAATTTCTCTGTTTACATCCATGTCACCTGCACTCCAGAAGAAGCTCTGTACTGTGTTTCAAAAGGCAATCAGACCCAAGACAAGCACTACATATAATCTACACTGCTTCCAAAAATGTCCTGGCTGTCATACATTGAAGAAAGAATCAAACTGAAGGTATCCACGTACAGTCTCATTTAGAGTTTCTGTTATTTTGATAATATAAAATCAAGTCCAAATTCCTGATGATTAAGTGAAATAATAAGAATGGGGTTTGCAAGCTGACGGGTCAGCACAATGGGCTCAAAGATAAACCAAGCAAATTAAAGCTATTCTTGTGGACAGTAGCTTCACGTTCTGTTCATCCTGCACTCTGAGAACACTTTGTTTTTCTTTTTCTTTTTTATTATTTTTTAAAAGATGGGGTTTCACCATGATGGCCAGGCTGGTCTTGAACTCCTGACCTCAGGTGATCTGAGGACTCCCAATTTTCCTCTCTACTGGGTACACAAAGCATAAAAGAGGAGCATAAAAAAGAAGTGAGGGCCTCTGTAATCTCAGCTACTCTGGAGGTGGAAGCAGGAGAATTGCTTGAACCCAGGAGGTGGAGGTTGCAGTGAGCCAAGATCCTACCACTTCACTCCAGCCTGGGCAACAAAAAGAGACTCAGTCTCCCAAAAAGAAAGAAGGAAAGAGAGAAATAAATAAATAAATAAAGAGAAAGAGAGGGAGGGAGGGAGCAAGGGAGGGAGGGAAAGAGAAAGAAAGAAGAAAGAAAAGAGGCAAAGATGGCACTTACGTAACTTACAAAGAAGAAGTCTGATCATTTTAATCAGTCAAATTTTCCTTTGATACGATACTAGAGGTTAGGAATCTATACCTGTGATCTGGACAGCTTTCTTCTTAGCTAAATAAACCCCAACTAAGTGAAATGCAGCAGCGTGTGCCTATGTCTTCTGCAAAAATATCTTCCAAGACACTGATAGCTGTATTGCTTTCTCCTACATGGAAATTTAAATACCCTTGGAGCCTTTGGGACCCCATTCCTGAATAAGTCCTATTCAAGGAGGTTGTTGAGCAAAGGGAGTAATTAGAAGTGAGTAAATGGTCTAGTTGAAACAGAGTATGGTGATGTTTCCCCCTGTGACAGTGCTGGATAGGAACAAGAGGGAGCTAAATCTCTGTTTTCTATCTCTAAGATTGGCCTAGGGAAGGGAGAATAAAGGTGATTGGTATAGCACAATCCTAGGACATATGTAGAAACCAGTTACTCAATTTCAGGCTATATTATTGGAATGAGAAATAACAACCACGTATCTCAGACATTTGAAAATATCCAATTTTAAATATTTTAAGTTCTTCATAGTTCTTTCCATGAACTGAATTGTGTTTCTTCAAAATTCATGTTGAAACTCTTACATACCCACCCCATATAAGTGTATTGGAACTCGGGCCTTTAAGAAGGTGATTAAGGTTAAATGAGACCATAAAGGTGAAGCCCCGATGCAGTAGAACTGGTATCTTTGTAAAAGAAGAAACATCAGATCTCTCTCTCTCTCTCTCTCTCTCTCTCTCTCTGTCTCTCTCTCTCCAACTATGTTTTTCTCTCCGTCTGTTGTCTTTTTCTCTCCCTCTACCCATGTGAGAACACAGCAAAAAGACAGCCCCGTCTCTCAGCTCCAGAAACTAAACTCTGCCGTAAAACCTCTGGAACCTTGATCTTGAATTTTACAATCTGCAGAACTGTGAGGAAAAATAAATTCCTGTTGTTTCCGTCACCTACTATATTCTGTTTTGTTATGGCAGCCCTAGTGAACTAATATAGTTCTTTTCTAGTTTTTAAACTATGATTTCTAATATTTTGATATGGAAATAGAATTTCTGTTCCTAGACTCTAACAAACACTTATCAATTGTCACAGCTGACTTTCCTGAACCAGGAATGGGTCTCCTGATGATTTTTCCAGAATTATATCAAGGTATTATTCAACAAACATTAATTAATAACCTATACAACCATGAACAAGACAAATTTCCTTAATCTTGACTTTCTCTTCTGTGAAAGGATTCAAGAACCTTGCCCTTTGAGATTTCCAGACATTTGTAATCTGGGAATTATTCCTCTTTCATTTAACACAAGAGTTACAGAGTTGTCAAAGAACTGAAAAATATGTAAAAACCTAAATTAATAAAATAGAGAAGACACAACAAGAAAAGAGATCAGCAATGCTAAATTTGGCTGTTTGAAAAGACTAAGAAAATAAAGGTATGCCTTTAAAAATGATTCTTGAAAAAAAGAGAGAAGGCACATACAAACAACATGAGGAAGGAAAGGATGACAGAAGCACATGGATTAAAGAGATGAAAGATATTACAACATTTGCCAAGGTGTTCAAATGATATGTCAAAATAATTTAACAAATGCTTATCAATTTGTGAAAACTGACTCAAAAATAGAAAGTATGTTTAAGATTCTATGTTTACGTATGTTACTGCATAACCAATTACTCCAAAGTTTTATGGCTTAGAGACAGCTATTACCTCACACTTTCTGTGACTCAGAAATCTACGCACAGCTTGACTCAGTTCATTTGGATCAGAGTCTCTCATGAGGTTACAGTCAAGCTGCCAGTTGGGGCTGTGGTCTCCTCTGAAGTGTTGGCAGGGGAAGGATCTATTTCCAAGCTTACTCACATGGCTACTGGCAGACCTGGCCCTGTCCACAGAACTGTGTCACAACATAGGAGCTGGCTCCTCCCCAGGCAACCAAACCAAGAGACAGTAGGATAGAGCCAGTGCACCCAAGATGGAAGGCACTACCTTTTATAATCTAATCTGCTAAATGATGCTTCATCACCTCTACTCACTAGAACCACATTCTATTGAGTAGAACTAAGTCACTAAATCAGGGCAAGGGATTATACAAAGAATGAATTTTAGAAAGTGGGAGTCACCAGGGGCCATGTGAGAGGCACTGTAGGACAGTGAGGAAATGATAAACTGTTAAATAAGTGATCCTGGGACAATTGGCTATTTATGTTTTTTTAAAAGTAGAAGGGAATTGAATGCTTATCTCAGTCATGAGCAAGAATCAATTCTATGTGAATTAAAGATTTAAAATTGAAAAAAACATAAAAAATCAAAGACAAATTAAAGGTAATATGTTATTTCTAAGTAAGACACAACAATTTTTAATTATAAAAGGGAGTTTTGATAAGTCACATTAAAGGAAGCCATTGATTTTATCAAGAAAATGGCTTAAAGCTAATAAAAAGAACCTGCAAACTAGGAGAATATATTTGCTGGACTCCTTAACAAGAAAATATTAGTATACAGAATACATACAGAACTACTATGAATCAATTTTATAAAAATCCAAATAGTCAAAAGAAACTGAACTAATAAAATAGCATAAATTTTCCAAGGGAGGAAATCTAAATTGTCATTAAACATATTAGAAGATGTTTAACTTTACTAGTAATCAGGGACCAAAATTTTATAATGCAATCTATACATTTACATACCATCAGATAGGCAGATATTAAGAAGGATGTCAATATAAAGTGTTGAAGAGTGGAATGTGCTATGAAATGTCATTTGCTGAAGGTGTGAATATATTTGTCATAATCATTTCATTTTGGAAAGCTCTTTGGCATTCTACTCCTAAATATATCTTTTTAAAGAAACTCTTAAAGTGATCCCCTAGTGATGTGCAGAAGAATGTTTATAAAAATAATTAGAAATCGGCCGGGCGCGGTGGCTCAAGCCTGTAATCCCAGCACTTTGGGAGGCCGAGGAGGGTGGATCACAAGGTCAAGAGATCGAGACCATCCTGGTCAACATGATGAAACCCCGTCTCTACTAAAAATACAAAACATTAGCTGGGCATGGTGGCGCGTGCCTGTAATCCCAGCTACTCAGGAGGCTGAGGCAGGAGAATT